TAAGATACAGGTATTTATTAACAGTTGTCTACACAAAATACCGAGGATCCATCGGCCAAACACTATCAGAAACACCTACTGTCGGACAGAACAAATCAGATTCCAACTAAGGAATAAATCAGGAATAAGCAATCCTCATCAGTTATTTCTTATTTGATAACTGAATTGTATTTACACTATTCTGCTTAATTATTTTGATTTCCATGTACATTTTTCTAATCAGTTGTCGATCGATTCTGTCTTATCTGTCATAGACATTTCAGTATTGTAATCAGTATAGTACATGGATTATTCGACACGAATGAATTTACTTAAAACCAATCAGAAAAAAGAAACATCTAAACACTAAATCAATTAACTATAGTGTGTATTTGCATTAATTTCACTTACCAAATGAATTAACTTATTCAAAATTCAACTTTTCTTGTTTACTCATAATACTTTTTTTCAAAAAAAGAAACTTTAAATTACACATCATCTTTGATCATTTTCTTCCTACTGACTCGATACACAAAATCATTGGATTTACAGACACACCTATAGCAAATTTTAAATTGTATTCAATGGTTCAATTTAAAAATTAAAACAAACTATAAAATAGAAGTCAAATTTCAATCATATCGGTTTATGATTGTTTCTTTTTTATTCATAAATGATGAAAATTTTAAATCTGATTATTTTCATTCACATATTCAGTGTGTTCTATGTGGATTCGCAATTAAACTATTATGAAGAAATTTTATATAATGAACATATCAATAAACGAAGAGCGCTATTAAACTGTCGAGTTCCTGGACAACCAAGACCAATTTATCCCAAGGGGGACTTGGTAAGTAGATTCTTATTGATGATTATAACAACAGTGATAAGTTTTTATCAATGAGAATTGTGGGGATTGTTGAGTACTTTTTTTAGTGAAATTATGAAAATCGATTACTTTTTGGTCATCATTAGAAACACGGAAGCAGAAGACAGTCATTTTGTCCTAGTATAAGATTCATCATTGGCATTGCACATCTACTAACCCTGCTCGTGGGAATCGAACTCAGATCCTTCGATCTCGTGTGCTTTTAATCCTCAAACCAGAATCCAACGGTGTTAATGTCTACCTTTGATCAATCCATGATATTGTGCGACCTCAACTACTGGTTACGGTTGCTAACCGCTTCACATCCGAGAGGGTTGGAATCTATTGGTTCAGGCTCTGTTATGCATGAACGTAACACGTCATTTCATATGCTTGAGCTATTACAAGTTTACCTTAGTCGGAAAACGACAGTGAGGATCGAGGATCCGGAGACACGAGATGCTACTTTAATCCGATTGTCTAACCCTCCATTGAGTACAAGAAGAAAGCAAGCATCTATAAAGTACGAGGTCCGAGTCCAGAAGAAGGTAAGGATACCGGACTAGAGATCCGGGTATGGGTAATAAAACGTTACAGATAATGTGTGTTTATACAGTTAGGTCGAATAGGAAACAACGTCGAATTCCGTGTCACTGATAGTTAGGATGACCATAATATTGGCTAGTGGGAATCGACCAATAGAATCAGACATACAAAAGTAATTCTGTTAGGATATTTGATGAATCGATTATTGTCAGACCAGAATTAGATGCCTGGAAGTACTGAACGGACTATTTTTGTAGTTTATGATGAAAATCATACAATTCGTGCTCACTAGTGACGATCTTCTTGTGGGGATTCTCACAGTTCTAGTAAACAGCCGAAACCAATGATTTTCAACCCTCTCGGGTGTGAAGCAATTACCAACCGAAAACAGTGGATGCGGTCGCTCACTGTCGTGGATTGATTTAAGTTAGACATTAACAACGTTAGAATCTGGCTCGCTAGTTCATAGGTTATGCATTCTTGCACGAGACTCAAGGATCTGGGTTTGATTCTCGAGAGCGGGAGTCGTGAATTCTCAGTATCACTGATAAATCAGCCCCATACCAAGACGAAATGACTGTCTAATGCTTCCTGGTTTCTGATGGTGGTCTAACATAATTGATCGATTCACGATTTCAAACAAAACATAGTAACTCAACAATCTTCACAAATTCGTAATGTTCATGAATATAGACAAATAAATCATTATCCTGGGAGATCACTATGTAAAAACACCTTATGTCATCAATTGAAAACATCCTTAGGATTTAGCTACATCAATAAATACTTCAGGCGGCAGTATTACTGACTGAATCAACTTACACTCATTATTTGGGATTGACAAACTACGTAGCTATTTCTAGGGTAATGTATTAACATTTTTGAGTTCAAAGAAGATGTTTATATATTGAATATTAAAAATTCCCATTGTGAAAATTAGAACAACACATATAAGCGAACAATATTGTTTTCGATATCGGGCGTACTTCCAGGCAACTTACACAACGAATGAATGAACATCTCCCTGAATGGTTTAAGAAGGGTCAGTCAAAAACAATACACAGGTCTATCTTAGCACACCTGGTAGATAGTGGTCACATTGTGGATAAATCTAGATCTTTTCGGGTGATCTATCGTATACGTTCATCATTTCCCAACAGAATTCGATCCCATCTCTTGCATATAGCAGAAACTATAGGAATTCGAATATTCAATCCTAATTTATGTGTTCAGAAGGAATTCATGACACCCCTATCTCTTCCGTGGCCGGATATGACGTAACTAACGATCGACATCATACTTTTTATTTTATTGTTAATTTTACATACTTGCTTATTACGTAATGGTTTTGATGTTTTAAAGGATTATTTGAAGTCTATTCATCCACCTTTGTCCTACTATTGATAAAACGTTAGTTATCATATTTTTCAGTTCATTGTGATTATTGACTCAAATTGCCTTGATTAGTTTAAAGCTTGTTGACGATCTAATCGGAAACAATATTGTTCGCTTATATGTGTTGTTCTAAGTTTATATATTGCAAGAATTTATTCTTCAAATAGAAAATGACAGGATCCAATTTTAAGGATATTCAGTTTTGATTGAAGCAAATAAGATTGGAAATTTCTTTTGATTGAGGTGAGAAACAGATTACCACTCAAGAAGGTAAGTTATTCAGAGAGGTATTTGGAACGAATAACGTTACTCAATCAGACGAGTTCCAAGTCATTCTAAACTTCCAATAAAATAATTATTCTTCAGTCAGAGTTATGGAAATTAGTGTTTTACACATTGAAATGACCAATCAAGCATCGTTAGACCACCATTAGAATCCTGGAAGCACTGAACAGCATTTTCTCCCTGGTATGGAACTCATCAGCAGTGTGCATCCACGACACCTGAACCTCGCAGGATTCGAACCCAGGACCTTCGCTCTTGAGCGCAAACGCCTAACTTCTGAACCACTGAGCTGGCACCCAGCGGTGCTAATATCTAACTCTGATTAATCTAGAGATTTCGCGCGACCTCATATTTTGAGTTTTGGATGAATTCTATTTTATTTTACATATTTCGCACAAATATACATTTATATTTCATATTTCAAAGTATTGGGATGAAGATTTGGCAAATCTAGCAGGCAGACAAGCAAGAGCATGTGATCTGAATGTTGAATATAAGAAGGCTGAAATAGAAAAAGTATATCGCGATACAATTGGGATAAACACAGCGGATAATAACAATGTTACAAGGTAATTTTATTTAAGCATCATAAAAATATTTCAAATTATTCTACCTCCTTATTTCCATCAAAAAAATAGTGCTGTAAAATCATGGTTTGATGAATATAAATGGTATAATTTCAAAAGCAATAAATGTCAAGGTCGTAGGAATTGTTTACATTATAAAAAAGTAAGTTCATTTTTGAAGTTGATAAAGACATTTTACCAAAATAATCAACAAATTCAAGCTTATTATTTGAAATGATGGAGAAAATTTGGGATTTAGTTCTCAGAGTTAAGATGAACGGCAGTCTTTTATTCTGTCGAAAAGTGTTTATTTCGTTTTACTATTTGGAGGTGAATCAAATGGTTTAATCTTAACTTACTTACTTACTTATGCCTGTTACCCCCCAATAGAGCATAGGCCGCCCACCAGTTTTCATCAACCAACTCTGTCCTGGGCTTCCCTCTCCAGTTCTGTCCAATTTTTGTTCACTCTTCTCGTATCTTTCTATAGTTCTCCGCGTAATGTGTTCTTTGTTCTTCCTCTTTTCCCTTCACCTTGAAGGTTTCAAGTGAGAGCTTGTCTTCTGACGCAGTTGGGTTTAATCTTAATGTAGTGAACGAGAACCACACTCGTCCCCCCTTTTAATAAGCTGTCGTCACTTTCAAAACAGGGACCCTGGTCAGTTAATATCACCTCCATCTTCCCGGCGGCACTGTCCAGTCTGTCGTATGCTGCTTTCGCCTCCACCATGGCCTCAAACTCCTCCAGGAAGCTCCGCAAACCTCCGTCCTCCAACTCCTTCGGCCACGGCAGCTCCTTCCTTTGTGCAGGCGGCGACACCAAATGTAGTGAACGAGAACACAGGTGGGGCAACCAAGTTGTATTTAACGAAAATTACAGAGTTACTCAATAAAATAGGAAAACCATATCGTAAACGGTTAATTTGCAAAATATCAGTTCATCATATCGAACTGGACTGTTCCTGTTGCAAAACATCAATCCATTGTCACTGTCCATGCGTTTCATACAAATTCCATTGTTTTATAACTCTTCCTTTCCTGATCTTCCCCCATCTTCTGCTGCCAGACATTACGTTCACACTCACGTCATATACTACTTACAAGTAGCTCGCACCACATTAAGACAGCTACTAAAAGCAGCCAAAGGGAAAGCATACGACTCTGCTAAACTGATTATCATTCAAAAGACTAAGCTCATGGTTCCACATAGGCCTAGACATTGCTCGAACGGTAACATCACATCCGATTGGATTAATCAGTTTACATGTTCGGGTTTGTGGACATATATACATACATAGAGAGGAGTAATCGGACTTTGCAATCAAGGATTATGGAAGATGTATCTAAGTGGTGTCAAACTCGGTTAACTTCAGATGACTCCCTATAAATGTGGGATATTGAAAAACCATGTTCACATCAATGGCAAAACACATAACTGAGACAGGGCATAAGATTGACATCAAGACAGCTTTTAAAGTATTGTATAAGAATGTTAAAGGACAAATTTTGAAGTTTTTGGAAGCTTTGGCTATTCGTGAATGAAAACCACCCATTTATGTGTACAGAAATCGTTTGTCCTAGCCTTGAAATTACCTCGGTAATCTTCAAGACATTTTATAGCCTAGTGTAATGTGACAGTTTCCTAACCTTTCTTATTCTTCCTATATTACGTAAATTTTCTGTCTCCTTCATTTACAATTTTGACCTTATGTCTATCTGAACTTTCATTGAATTGACCTTTTATTAAGTTTCATATAAGATACCTTGACAAGTGTATATATATGTATGTGACCCGACTGTTCGAAATGTATATAGCACGCGAATACTTTACAACATTTTTCAGATCACCCATGTATTCTCGTTATTATTCTATCAAACTATATATATAAGGGACTAACTGTTTTTGAATAAATTTTTCGATACTTAAACTGAAAGTTACTTAAATCATTAAACCCAACATCGTATCAAGTGTCTATTCAATGGACAGATCTTTTCAAAATGACAAAGAAATGAACAAATAATTAGAATGAATGATTTTGGATAAAAATTTATGCCACTTAAATTCCATCCGACTACCTTAACAATTTATCTCAGGTATAATGACTTTTTTTCTGGTTAGCGTTTTTTTAGCGAGTTAGTTTTCTACTGGATGTGGTTGTCAAACCCATGCCCAACACTCCTCCTCCTTTATCCGGGCTTGGGACCGGTAGTAGCCCCAGAGAGTGGCTCCAGAAGGAGTTATTTCAAGTACAAATTGTCAATGAAAAACGGCATAACTGTTTAAGTCAATTCAACAAGTTTACGACCTAACTTTCCGACGTACTGATATGGAACTGTTCATCAAAGCACTGAATTGATTCCTTGAAGAATCACACTCGAAATAACTTGGTCCCGTGGAGAGCATTAAGTTATTCGGCATAAAATGGTTCAACGATGTTCAATCATCCAAACATTAGCAGATAATTAATCCTTTTTACTGTGGAACTCCTAAGCTGTGTGCACATGTAACTCAGGAAGACTCAAAATAATGATTTTTTTTCCAAGCAATTTTCTTCTATGACAAACGTTTTTACACATTGAAATCATCAATCAATCAATCATTATTAGACTACCATTAGGAACTTGAAAGCACTGGATGGGCGTTTTGTCCTGATATTGGACTCATCAGCAGTGAGCATCCACGACTTCTGCACCTTCGGTTTTGCACGTGAACGTCTAACCATTGGACCACGGGGCCGGCATCCAACGGTGTTAATGTCTAACTCTGATTGATCTGCAGATTTTGCGTGACCTCACCCATTTGTCTTTGCTGGATATTGTCTACAATAATTGCTGGACTGATAAATTCAGTGTGTGAAATAACTAATCTCCATAAGTTTAACCGAAAAAATTTTTCTGAAACAATTTTTTACCAACTCTACAGATGGTGTCAAGTGAAGCTGAATTCATAGGTTGTGCTGTCGGGAGATGCGGACATTATACTCAAGTCGAATCAGGTCAAATAATCGTATGTTATTATTCACCAATGTAAGTTTATTTATATGCCTAGTAAATAGAAAACTGTGATTGGTCATCCAGCGTGGATAAATAGTTACTTAGTTTATTGGCTGCATGTGATTTCTTTTCCTATGATCAATTTATACTCTGGACTAATTGAAAGTGACTGCTTTTAGTGATATGACCTAATATCTGTGTCGCGTACCTTTTGAGTGTCTAATTCAGAGGTAGTCTAAACTCGATGAATGTCATGTGTGTATAGAATGAATAAGTGACTCAATGTACATTAATCAAGACGACATATACACTGCATACATTAGTAAAGATATTAGACATGTGACATTGTGAGGTAATGAAGAAAATTTGTAGCTCAGGTCGATGGAGTTTCATTCTTTGAGTTGGAATTATTTTTTTAGAAGTTTTGCACTCAGGTTGATCAGCAGTCATAGACACATTTAAATCCACCCAGTTTATCACTCAATCAGAATACTCATGAACAAATATAGGAACAAGTATCTGATCAAAGAGGGATACAATCGAAAGAAATCGGCTGAAAGGTCAACAGTAAACAAGCAAGATCAAGGGCGACAGGACAATCTAGGAGCTGTGTATGAAGAAATTCGATTCTATCTGACGTTTGTTGTTGTTCAGAGGAACACCGAAATTTCCACAATCAAACTAGTGATAACCTAGTAAAACACAGAACTTATAAGAATCGTTTAAATGCTTGACTTGTTAGAACAACATCTATATGATGTTGTAGTGTTCAGTTATGAAGTGCAATATTGTAAATTGAATTGAATACTTGAACGAACTCATTGTTCATTGAATCAAACGTTTCATTCATATGTATTTACTGCTTGAATCTTTCCGTTGATAGTTAAAACCGATATTGATCAATCTCATTCAGCATTTGTACATCCTGTGTGAATAGAACTCTATATAACCATTACATTAAATGCAGTTTAAGCAGAAACGTATACTGGTTAGCACTGGAATCCAGGATGCGTGTTTCGTCCTGTTTATAAATTATCAACTGGATGTATCTGTATCTCACATAGTTATTTAAACCTTTGATCATTACATGATGAGCGTAAAAATGAATGAAATCATTTCTCTACCCATTGTCATGATTTTATGTCTTCGTTATGCCTAATTGACTAATGCCTGCTAATATAACACCGAACTTAACAACAAGTAATGAGTACACAAATACTAGTTATGTAAGATTTGATAAAAATCATGAATCGACTAATGTTAGACCACAAGTAGATATTTGAAAGCTCTGGACTGCCGTTTCATGCTAGTATGGGGCTCATCAGTGGTAATGAGCACTCACGACTCCACACGCGGGAATCGAACACAGAATATTCAGGATCGCGCTCAGATACTTAACCTCTAGACCATTGAGCCAGCTGATGAATCCTATACTAGCACGAAACTGCCGTGTTCTACTTCCAGGTTTATTTCTAATATTGGTCTAAAATTGATCGATAAATCATTTCAATCAAACTCAACAATCTCCACACGTTTATTATGAAAAGTGTATGCATTATTTATTGACCCAAGAAATCAATCTACATGACAAGTGTATATTTGTATAAACATTACTTTTGATGTGATTACCTACAGTCAGATTTGTATGATCAAAGATGAATTCTACTTAACATCAAATAATTCATAAATTTTTTGTGTGAACTTATTCACCATATCATAAAAATCAATATTTATATTGCACATTGAAATCAACAATCAGTCATTGTTAGACCATCAGTAGAAACCTGCAAACGCTGGATGGCCGTTTCGTCCTGGTATAGGACTCCTGCACCTCGCAGGATTCGTACACAGGACCTTCGAATCTTGCGCGAGAACGCCTTACCTCTAGTGAATAGCGTCATGAGGAAATTTTCCTAGTTCTAGTAAGAAGACGTGGCCAGTGGAGTTCATCCCTGTCGGATATAGGCAGTAAATATCAAAGACAAATGGGTGAGGTCACGCAAATTCTATGGATTGATCAAAGTTAGACATTAATTCCGTTCGATGCTGGCCCAGTGGTCCAGAGGTTAGGCGTTATTGCGCGAAACCAAAGGTCTTGGGTTTGAATCCCGCAAGATGCAGGAGTCGTGGATGCGCACTGCTGATGAGTACCATGCCACAATTTGAAGGCCGTCCAGTGCTTTCAGGCTTCTGATGGTTGTCTAACAGTGATTGATTGATGATTTCAATGTGCAACAAACACTAATCTCCATAACAATTAATATCTATAACTAAACGGTAGAACGAGTTGAATAAAACGATATGATTACTCCTTCTCAGGCTAATGATTACACATTACAAAAGACTGACCAACACCAAAATCATTTTCTCAAATCAATCGCATATCAATCGATTTGTCGACTATAGTCACTGCTCACCATATTCAGTACTTCTTTTTCAGGGGTAATATCGAACATTCACGACCGTACCAACCGAACAGAACTCATCCTTGTCCACCGATTACAACAACAACAACGACAATAGCACCTATCACAACGACTAGAAATTTACAAATGGGTCCATATGGTCGTTTGCGTTGTAATTGTAAATGTCAACCTTAATACATTGTATTGTTTAGCATAATGGACATTCAAATGTATTTGATTCTTGTCCACAAGCATAAATTTATGTACAATAAGTCGGTCGATATATTGCAATAAAAATAATAATAATAGTTAAAAAAGTCTTTTTCTGTTAACCCTTCTTTCAGCTTGATTCGAGTAATTTATGTCATAATTGTGAACAAAGAGAAATGGAAAAGCGAAGAACGAAAGAAAAGATGAGTCAATGATCCATTCAGTAAGCGTTTAAAAAGTGAACTTGCTTCTAATAATGATAGTAATAAATGACAATCGATAATGACGAAAACTTCCGATTCAGAGTATCTGCCAAACGAAACTAGGAACAAATAGCATGAATATTTTCAACGCTAACAATAATGTAATTTTGAACAGGACACCCTACAAATTTGGGTTGAAAGGAATTCTGTTACTTTCAAATCATTGCTAGAAACTACCTTTTAGATTTATATCCCGGTATTGGATAATATTCGTCAGTTTAAATATTGATACGTGTTCACTCTAAACTAAATAATTTTCAAATTAAAAGACCCAAACAGAATGAAATGCACGTCCTAGATTCCATGATAACAAGAATTCAGATACATAAAATAGTTACGATTAGCATCTCATACGAACACAATCAACAAGTAAATTGAATTAATTTTACAATATTTAACAACAGAAAGATATGAAGTAAATGTTTTCAATCGTTTTCGATACACATATATAAGATTAAATGTAAAATGATCAAAATATTTGAAGATGAGTTTAGTAATGCATATGACACAGCAACTGCACTAGGCACGGACTGATATTATATGAAGTAATAGATACTGAGCATGGAGTTGGTGACCCAATTCTATATAAGACTAACCCGTTAACAAAATACTGGCCAGAAAAAACAATTCAAACCGTTAAACTGTTTCCTAGCAGTTGTAAAGTCTCCATTTAGAAGAGTTGTCACGTCTCATGATGAAAGGTGAGTTCCTTCCGAAGTCACGAGGCCCATGCCTCTTCTCACAATCAGAGAAACCATTCTTTTAGGTACATGGAATATTCATAAGTTGTGGGAGACCGGAAGACTATTCTGAGTTGTTGCAGAAATGAAAATATACTACATGGAGGTGCTTGGAATCAGTTTAATGCATTGGATGAAGGTAGAACAACTGAGAATAGAATCAGAGGAACCAAAAGCGTTTGCATTCACGGTCGAAGATGCCCACGTGCTTGAGAAAATCATCCTCTTAGTTCATAACTAGCTTAAAACATCGATAACGAGTATTAAACAGTGACGAAAAAGTGAAAATTAACGATCTCGTGAGTTCAAAGGTAGGATCAAATTGCAGTACTTGTCCAGCTCACTTGCTCCCAAAATTCAAAGTAGCTGCCGAACCTTCCAAGCATCATCTTGGTTGGCAAAATCAAATTCAAATAAGTCTTCAAAACGCCAGAAACACATATCAAAAGTAACATTGGCACCAGGATCATAATGAAATTCAGCTACGCTATTCGCGATGCCGTCGATCGATGGAGCTGTGGTTGCATTAGATAAGCTGGGCTATGTGGAGGGGGAAATCTTCATGTCTGTCAACATCTGCATCAGTTTTAGCTCCTGCTCAAGTAATAATTCAAGTTTGGCAGGATCCATGTTTCCAAAACCACCGTCGCCAGTTGTTACGCTCGTCACTTGGTACGCTTCAACCTATTACGAGTTCACTTTAGTCGGTAAACGAAAACGAGGAGGTTACCAGCGACCAGATAGGCTACCTTGAATCCGAAGCTGCAAAACAGAAAACTCGATAAGCGTAGAAATTGTATCCTACACCAACAGCCAGCACACAATGAATATATATATATAGATAATCAATACTGTAATCGAATTATTCAAATACAAAATTGTGGTCAATACAGTTATCGAAAAATTCAAACGAAAGTACAATGAATGAACGATGAGATGCTACAACCTCAAGGTCAGCTGATCGGTCCATGAAATAAATCCAAAATAAAGATATTTATCAAGCGAGTTCTGGGGATCTAACATCCCCAACAATAAAGTCCAATGGTTGGTGTCAGTCAAGAATTTCTCGCATATTTTATAGCTACTGATCAATTTAATAAGGTAGCAAGACGAATGGTAGCGCCTAAAACGTTAAGTAAACCTACAAAATGCTCCCCAAGGCTCTCCACAGATAATGAATTGCGGGGATAATTGTTACGTCCAGTTTTTTGCCCGTTGATCCTACGAAGCACGGTTGTCGAACTATTTGTAATTCACGGTCCAAATGTTTAAACCAAGAACGAAACTCCAAAGTAGATACCAAAGTTTATTCCAAATCACAAATTCGACCAAAATACTTTATTACAAATAGACGACCAATGTCGTTCTTCTAATTTATTGGCTTTAGGAGCAAAAAACTGCAAACGAACAACCAA